GAGAGCTATTGTCTTATGCTTCGTTTTACGCCCCCCCCCCTGGTAATTATTGCACAGTCCCTAGGTAAACTTATTTCATGCTTCAGATGCATTTTCTCTCCTATTTTGAAACTAACTTTGCTAGTTTTGATAACTTTCATTTCCTTAAATACTGTCGTCTTTGTTACCACTTTTCTCTCCTGCTTCGAACTTTTCAATGAGGAATGCTTTACTTTAGTGAAATTTCTTTTTTTCTTTTGGTGTTTTTTTTTTTTTKTGTGTAGGTGATAGATTGTCTGTGTGAGTGGTTGAAAGAAAAGGGAAAGGAAASGAAAGGAAAGAGGGAGAAAAAGTGACTAAAAAATAATTAAATGTATAAATAAATAAAGGGCCAAAAGGAGATAAAAAGTATAAATATCGAAGGTGGTGAATTGAACGCTSATAATTTCAAAACTAAAATGAGTTCCACGCTCAAACCTTTTGGGATGTTAGAACAACCTCTGTAGTAGTCGTATATGGAAAAATATCGTAAATAAAGTGCCGCACTTTTGAGAAAAAGACTTTACATTTTGCCTATCATCGCGATTGATCATAAATTACTGCGTCACGCAATAAGTAAACAATTCACCAGTGAAAAGAACTTTCTCAAATTGTTTGGTTTTCTCGTTGGATAATCGCTTCAAAGATGAAAACATATATGGCAAGTTGAATTAATATCGTCCCTTTAATGGTTTTTCGTTTACAGTCCTTCAAAGTACACACAAATATTAAGAGATTTTTAGCAGTTTTGGGCCAAAACTGAGGGGGGGGGGGGGGGGGGGGGGGTGATCTCGGTAACCAAACGTCCGTTGAATCTCATATTCGGCCATTCTTATTTCATCCGAAGGCGATTAACTGGTATCAGTTTCAGTTGAATCGGCTGACCCCCATCTTTTGACCCTGCCCGGTTTTCTGAGACAATGACTCTTAAGACTTTTCACAAACAAAATCGACTGCCTGACGTTTAGTTCTTCACAAATGAAGACGGATTTTCAAACCTACTTTCTTCTGTATGGGCTTCATCAGCACTTGACAGTTGTCCTAAAAAAGATAACATATTTTTGTTGTGGTGGGAACTAGCGGTAAACTAGTGTGAGCTGCGTCGGTGTTTCTAAAGAAACAGTTATGTAAAAAGATAAATTTAACACCGTAAAAAAGTATGTGGAAAAACTTACTGACGTTTCGGATGTTAATCCTTCGTCGGAGTAAAGATAGAGAACTAGGTATAGTGTGAGTTTATATAGTAAGAGGAACAAAGAGAATAGACCAATAGGAGCAAGGTAGGCATGGTAACGAAAAATAAACAAAAAAGCAAAGGAAGTGTTAGACAAAAGAACAATAAAGGTGCTAAAAAGGAAACAAAAGAATTAAAACTTATCTGAAAACAAAGCGTTCATTCAACCCATGGGGATTATAAGTGCCCAATTGGTGAATGAGCCGCATTTCTTTGGTTTTGCGACAATCATTATTGCCGCTAATCAAAGACAAACCAAAAACAATAAAGTTAGAAATAGAGTGGTTGGGTAAGTTAAAATGGCGGGAGACAGGCTTATCAAGATCATTCTTACGAATACTACGAAGATGTTCACAGATACGATCGCCAAGACGACGGCCAGTCTCACCGACATACAACAAATTACAAAGCGAACATTNTGGTCAGCCACGTCCTGCGCCTAGCCAAGACATTGGCAATATCCCAACACTGTATGCACTGTTTGTGTTCTATCCTCAAAAGCCCCTCAAATAAACTCCCCATTCCTCAATCCCAATTCTACCAATCCTAGTGAAACAAGCAAAATCAGACCAGCTCTCGACATGGTTGTGATTTCTCCCACTATGACTCGATTTAGGTCTCGAAAGTCAAACTCTCACATCTCCAATGATCTCCCCTTTCTGAACCCTTTGTTCCGCAAGTGCTAGGTCAAGATTTTCTGTCTTTCCTCTACCGATCGTTGCGAGATTTCCCTTCCAATCTACCCACTGGATATCGCAACGTAGTATCCTGTTAGCCACTTCGTTATCAAACCCACCAGMGTCTCTTTCCCATTCCCAGGTTATTGTGTTCTGTCAAGACAAATAGCAAATGCAAATAACCATCTACTCATTTAAAGATATCCCGCAACACAGGTCAGTAGAGAAAAGACAGTCTCGACCCAGTATGACCGGGAGGRTTTTTAAGCAGGCCCTGTTTTCAAGACTATCAATTTCCCCAATGACCCTGCCTCAATAACGAATAGACACAACATTCATTACTCGTTTAGCATGGTTTATTCAAACCTTAACTACAAACTCCATGGATTTGCCTATACGTATGCACTCACATGGCATTATCATTTTCCCTATTACTATCATTTCTTGTCATTATTGGAGTTTTCCGGGCCCAAATGACGGCGGGCCCCTGACCCTTCTCCGCAGCTTTCCTTGCCAAGCATTTGGCCCACAGTTGGCCTGGTTTATTACAATAATAGCATCTTCGGGGAACCTTGTACCCCCCCTGGCTGGCCCTGTAAGGTGTAATCTGACGATCCCACCTTAAATTCTTTACCATCGCCTTCTCAACCATTGCGACTGCCCTAAAAAAAACCTTTTGGTGATCCTTATTTCSCAAAAGCCTCAGAGTCAGTGACCTGAAGTGCTCGTACCGAATATCCATCTTATTCAGAGCACTTTGGTACGCGAGATGGTAATACTCGCGTTTCTCGTGTTTCGTGTCTCTGGCCGTGTTCTAGAGTGTCCCCAGAATTTTTAATGGGTCGTACTTATTAAACTCCGATTCCGGCCGATTTGCATAATCAAACGCCTTGGCCAGCAAGCCCGCCACGCTTAATTAGCTTCGTCATCTCTTCCACAGATTTCTTCAACAGAGCCACCTCTCCTTTTACTTTAAGTAAAGGTTCACGTTAACTCCCGTTCAATCGGAGGGATTACTCCCACATTGCACAACAACCACACGTATAGTTATTCCGGGACTATCGTCATCCCGAAATACATAATCACTCCGACGTATCGGTATGAACCAAGTGAGYCTCTCTTACCACTAAGTAGAATAAATATATCAAACGTATGCCATGAACACTCATGCTAACAAACGTTGTTTTAACCCGTGAACATTCCCTCGCTTAATTATGAATGCCAAGRATCGAAGACTTAAAAGCTCACTCCACCGCAACCGTTGTTTATACAAATGAGTACTCCGTAATTAAAGCCGAACACAATGCCGTGCTAACGAATCTTCATGTTAACTAGTGACACCTCACTCAGCAAGGCAGCGTTAAAAAGACAACACAAACAAAAAAAAAACACTGTGAAAACTCACGCCTCATATCTAATATTGCAGTGAATACTCACTACAACGAACGCTATTTCCACTAGTAAACCTCACTCCATCATGCATGTCCCACATTACAATGCAGTTAAAACTCCGGCAAGCGTCTAGTTGTTTTAACCATTGACAAATCTCACTCAAAAATGACTCTCAAAAGAATACAGTGAAAACTCACTCGAACAAATGAATCTTTTACCTCTCCTCAATCACTTCAAACAGTGCCGTAAAAACTCACTCGAGC